TACGCCTTTGGTCAACAGGCCTGGAAATAGCACTACAGTAAAGTACACTGGAAAACTTTTAGGCTGTGTCTGCACTGGCATGATTTTGCGCAAATACTTTTAATGGAAGAGTTTTTCCGTTAAAAGTATTTGCACAAGAAAGCTCCGATGTCCATTTTAGCCATTGGGATTTCTTGAACAAGAAATTGATGTTACCTGTCTACACTGGCCTCTTGCGCAAGAACACTTATCCCTGAGTGGGAGCGTCAGAGTATTTGCGCAAGAAGCACTGATTTTGTACATTACAATGTCAGTGTTCTTGCACAAATACTCGCGGCCAATGTAGACAGGCGGCAAGATTTTGTGCAGCCAATGTAGACACAGCCTTAGTGTGAAGTAGCAAGATCTACAAAGACCAATTGATATGCTGCCTGTTAGGCTATGTCTACACTATACACAATAGCAAGTAATGTGTAGCATACAGTTAGCAATACACTGCAGTGCATAGCTACACATATTAGCAAAAGACTGGAAGAGGTGAGCCAACAGGGAAAGGCTTCAGTAGCTGGGGCCTTTCACTTGGGTGAGAAAAGGTTTTGGAAGGGAGAGTCAGATTGCCTTTCCTATTGCCAAAGTCTTTCCTTACTGCTGCCTTTGGCATTTTTCCCTTCAGTGGGGAAAGGTTCCAGCAACAGAGGTGCACCACGGCCTTTGCCCACTGTTAAAGTCTTTTCTTGCTGTGGGGAAGAGCTCTGCCAGTGGGAAGTTGGCAGAGCCTTCCCCCTATTGCTGGAACTTTTTCCTGTTCCCTCCCCACTGGTACAGGACATTATTTTAATAAAAACAGCAGTATACAAGTGCAAACACAGCTTGGATGAGTGGAGAGCTATGTAGGGTATGTACCCAAATAAATACCCAAACCCACTACAGGCTCATGCCCAGACCACCACATGAGCAGCTAACTGTATTTATCTCCTCTCAAGATTATGATACAGATAAGAATGCAACCAGATCTAGAGAGTCACTATTTTAAGATTATTTTATATATAATTAGTATTATTGTATACATGTTATACAATAATAAGCAATCAACATACATTTCCTTTGAAGATAGCTGGAAGAAAAGAATCAATGGTTAGACCAGCTCTGCTTCTCTGTATGTAATGTTTGATGTAAGATTTTATCTCTGAGGTGGCTATATGCATTACAGAATGCATATAATTACCCGTTAGGCAATTACAGGGTTTTAGTTCCTTCATGTTCATAAAGGAAAACATTTGAACACAAATATAAGCACTTCCAAAGAGGCTTGTACAAACAGCAGTCCTCTTACGTAACTCTAGATATCTATCATATGGCAGACATTTACAGAAATTCAATGTTTCCTTAATTAAACATGGATTAATTCTAGCTTGACATTAGCCTTAGCTGCTTCTGGTCCAATTGAAAATGAGTCTGCAAAAATCTGAATGTGTTTATTTCTGTTTGAAAGTTGCTGAACCATTGATCAAACAAAATTAGAAGATTCTTGAAAGATTCTGTAAAGGGACAACTATCACACATATATTTTTGCAGTATAAGTTGGCAAATGGGAAAGGTCATTCCACTGACAGGCTGCAAGCAAAGGTCACTTCTTCCTGGCAGCTGCAAACAAAAGTCATTGCTCCCTCAGAAGTGTAATATTTGAGTGCCAGAAATATATTTTCACAAAAGTCAAGAAGTGACTCTGTTTATTCAAGAGACACAGGAGATTTTTACTTTCTTACCCTATCAGCTCTCACTTGAACACTGCTCTTGCGGAGAGAGATTATTAGTGAAACTACAGGCTGTGTACCTCAGATCTTTTGTGTCTTTCTCCTGCGTCTAGCTTCTGTGAGAGCTAAATGGATTCGTCTGCTTAAATGTTAATGTTGATACTTCATTTGGCTTCAGAGTTAACACCTAACTGGAATAAATATGGCAAGCTATACTTTTCATAAGTATTGTCAGGCTATTTGTCTACACATTAAGTAAGGCAAAATTATATCTGTTGGCAATTGCACTGTTTTCTTCACAACAATAAGGGGTAAAAACTTTTTTTTTTAAATAAAATCCTACATTCTGCAGAAAGGGAGGAGCTATCAGTTAATAGTAAGAATGTCTTTGGTGGTCCAGTATTTGTAAGTATAATCTTAGTTTATGGTGTCTGGGTAGTCAGCATGAGTGGACATGGCCCATGGAGATAGTATGTCCACTTTTGGAGAGCCGTGTGTATAACTCCACATTTGCATTACCTGTGAAAAGAGCAACCCCATTGTATTCTGTGCTGCAGAGATATGGATGCTTTAGAACAGGGGTCTCCAAACTTTTCAGCCCGAGGGCCGCATTAACTATCAAACAGCAGTTCGGGGGCCGACTACACACTTGAGGTCCAAATAAAAAACAATCAAAACATGGATGTTGTTTTTAATTATTTATTTAATATTATTTTATTCAGTTATTATTTAATAACACATTCATACACTACACATGAACACCTGTATTAGTGTGAATGGTGAAATTGTTTCCTGGATGCCAAAATAGCAGACATTTCTGGCTTTAGATTTGTTGTCCCTAACATCAACAGTGACCTGAGATTATCATCGGACAAGTTTGTTCTCAAATTGTTCTTCACGTATTTCATTCTTGAAAATGTTTGTTCACACAGGTATGTTGTTCCAAAGATTGAAAGGTACCTTGATGCAAAAGTTTTGACATTAGGAAAGTCTTCCTTGGGCAAAAACTGGTAAAAACCCACCAGTCCTATTTTGAACTTGTCCCTAAGGAGGTCATTTGCTTGCAACTCAATGACTTCCAGCTGCAGTTCATCTGGGCAACTGGCCACATCTGCTTCAAATGGGTTTTGAAACAATCTCACTTCTTCTGCCTTTGAATCCAAAAAGGTCTCCACGGGCCAGATGAGAGGGCCTCGCGGGCCGCATCCGGCCCCCGGGCCGTAGTTTGGAGACCCCTGCTTTAGAACATAGCAACTATGCAGTCCTGGGCCTGTGCCATTTACAAAGGTGAGTTTAGGTACTTATAGTTCCTTTCCATGGGTGGAACACCTCAGAATTAATCTCCCAGATCCTAGTCCAGTTTAAAGTGCGATTCTTCTCTGAAAAGTTATGAGATAAAATGTATGCACCTCTTGTCTCACCAGTTCTGCTTATGTTTATTCAGTCAAATATATTTGCAAGGAAGTTTAAATTTTATTGCTTACTCCTTACTTCTGTTATCATGGCATCACTAATACTGTTATGGGAGAATGATCTTGATTCAATTCTGGCAGGGCCTTTGAACAATGAGATTGCAAAGATGTAAATAAAAGCACAATTTTTCCTGGAGAATGTTTATTTGTAGCCCTCTGTTTTTAGTGTGCCAAATGGAGTACATTGTAACATTTTTATGATGCATAAGCCAGAAAGAATCTAGTTTATTTTTCAGCTCTCAGGAGTTTGCATTGCTGGCAATTAAGGACTGGGGGGAGGAGAGAAGAATATTTTTTTCTTATAAACGGAATCAATTTTGGAGGGAAATAATTGACTTGCAAAATGCTATTTTACAATCAACTTCCCGAGTGGAACCATGCTTCTTTAAATCAACAAAACTCAATGAAACACCAGCATGCATACTATTTGAGAATCACCGTTTATAACCTAGGCTTTACAATACACAGCTTTTGCAGTGTCTGCATTTTGGTTAAAAGGGATTCTTTCTCAGTTAAAAAAGTATGTGGCAAAAGATTGTTTCTCTATCAGAAAACCAACAAGAGTGAAGACTCTTTTTTGTATTAATTTCACATTTAAATGCTGTATATTCCATTTATAGTGCAGTAATTGTAACCAGTAAATTGATTTCTTTGTACATTTAAGAAAGTAAAATATATTAAGACAAGTGGGGGGCGATTTAAAATTGAGCCAATTTCTATAAAATAGAGTTACCAGATAGCAAGTGTAAAAAATAAGGATGGGGTGGGGGAATAATAGGTGTCTATATAAGATCCTCACCATGACTCAAAATTAATACATCATCTGTCAGACTCAGAGAGGTTGTCTGTTAACAGTTTCTAACCTACATTATTATGTAGTATCTCATCATTATTAAATGTGTTCTTCATGGCTGATTTAAAGTCAGTGGAGACACACTGGTAATCAGACATTACTGCTGAGAATTATTAATGCCTTCCTCCATGAAGTCAAGCAGCTGACCCTGCTTAAGCACTCATTGGTTGGACCAGTCTCTCCTTGGATACCATCATCCTCACAAATAGGTGGCCACTCTGGACCTTTAGTTGTTATTGGGCCAAGTTTAGCCACATGCACATACATAGTTTCCTTTAATTTTAATTAAGATGTATTAAAATTGATTGAGCTCTTTCCAGGAAGAAACAGGGATTAAGTGTCCATGCTGATTTGTAATAGCTGTTCTCAGTCACAGTGCTTCTTCTGGGATTTCACTATCTTCTGCTAGGCAATCTCAGAAAGTAGTGCTGGACAATTGCTCTTCATCTGATAGGCTTTTCCTGAAGGTCCTGTAGCATTCCAGATTATTACATCGCTAGTTCAGTGTTTTATGTAAAGCCAATAGGGGATACTGTGAGGTGTTTTGACCTGTAATGAGACACACATACTGAAATTCTGCTGTTTTTTCTTTTTCAACAAACGCACATTTGACATTTTTGTCATCTGGCCAGGGTCTGACAGGAATCTAGATGGGCTGGCTAAAGCTCAGCCCAGATAAAAAAAAAAAGAGTAATATTGATATGAAGGCCAATTAGTGAAAGGTACAGAAGTTGTTCCTACCATCATCATTCTTTACAGGTGTGGATCGAGTGGTTACTATAGGCTTGGACTCATATGTTATGGTCTAGTTGAGATGATAGTTTCAAATCCCATCTGGAAACTACAACTAGTGTAGAACAGAGCTGCCTGCTTCCCAAGCAGCATGAGGTGGTCTGAATATGTAATAGCTCTGCTTAGATCTCTGCTTTCATTTCTTTTCAGATTGAACATGCTGGTGAGGATTAAAGATCTGAATGCTGAATAACCATATTACCCATCATGGCAGCTGGAAGCATTATCTATATTAGAACCTACTTTTAAACTTTCTGTGCCAGTTACTGTCTTTACGTTAACAGGTTTAATAAAATACCAATGAGTGTCTACCGATCTAGATAATTTATATGGTCCCCATTGCTGTTATATCTGAGCAGCTATGGAGTTACATCTGTTGAATCCAGACACCATGGCCAGCTTCAGGAATTTCTCACTTAGGGGATGCTGTCATTGGGATGTGCAGTCCCCGATAGCCCTGCAGAGCCTGAACCTTGCAACCTGCAGGGTATGAAGCAAGATGCAATTTAGCATTTGACTAACAGTTTCTCTTTCTTATTCAGTTTTTTAATCTCTGTAATTAAGGCACCCAGCTATACCAATGCTCTCAAATTAGGCTTTTAGATAAAAACACTAATCAATAGCAATGTATACATAAAAACTTAAAAGGCTTACTTGGCATTGCCCAAGTCCTTCAGGGAGGGGGCTGGCAGTGTGGGGGTGCAGGAGTCAGTGTGGGAATTGAGAAGGGGCTCAGGGCAGGGGGCTGTGGGTGTGTGGGGTGTGAGACTGAGGGTTGGGGGGACGAGGAGCAGCTCATGGCAGGGGAACAAGGGATTGGGAGGAGGGGAAGCTCAGGGGAGAGAGACTCAGGGTAGGAAATGAATGGTGGCTGCCAGCTTCTCCTTGGGAATGGCCCAGTAGTGGGGAGGGGCACCCCACCTGCCTGATGGTTCCTAGGGTGGAAGGGGGCGGCACACCCCACCCTGTGGCTTGTACCCAGGTTTGGGGGTACTGCAAACCCTGCCTGCTGGCTTGTCCCTCACGATGCTCCAAGGGCCAGGCCTGGGGAAGGTGGGTGGGGCCACAGAGGCTGGCGAGGGAGAGGGTGGTGGCAGGGAAGGCTGTGGCTCTTCTGGGGGATGGCAGGGCCTTTCCCTCTGTCCAAAGGGGCCTTTCTCCCTCTGTCTGCCTTCTCTCCTCCTGCCCCTTGTTCATTCAGTAGGACTTTCTTATTCCCCTCCCCTGCTCCAGCACTGCTGCCAAGGACCTGGGGAGGAGGAGTTTGAGTAGGGGGGCCACTTACCCAGTCCAGTGGCTGGCAAGATAGTGAACTCCAACCCCAGTTGGCCACTTTTTTGCTAGTGCGGCTGTCCCCAGTGACCACTCTGCAGTATAACTGTCCTCTAAAATGTCCCCTTGCTTTCCATGTTATGGAAAACAGTCCCATTCCAGACATTTCTCTTTTTTTCTGGCACAGCCAAACCTTGACCTTCCTTTGAGTTAGGATAAGAGGAAGCTTCACACCAAATTTGGTGGTCCTAGCTCTTACTGTTTAAGAGGAGCTCTTGAACAAATGGACTCACAGATGGACAGACAGATGTACATAAAATATATAAATAGATCAAAAGGAATGTGTTGGGATTTAAATATTTTGTTTCATTGTCTGTGACCCAAAATGTGCTGCTACATGAAAATCTAAAATTGAATCAGCTTGTTGGTGTTCATTTTCTAATCTGAATCAATGTTTATATTGTGCAGTAAAGGCAAAGAGTAAATTAGAATGTGCAAATTCTTTCATTAGATGCTAATATAATGAGGGAATTCTTATATTTAAGAAAGCCGCTACAAAGCTTTCCGTTATTATTACAGACTCTTACATCTCCTGTAACTCTGTTCAATCCTAGATCAAAATCTGGGAAATACTTCATAGAAAAAGTAACTTCTCTGAAACTGGAAAAAGCTTACTACGTAGGTCTGGGCATATTGGCTGTGTAAGTTTCAGGTGCCTATGGGATTCTAGTACAAATATTAATAAGATTTTAAATGTCAGGTGCTGTTTGCCAAATATATATGAAGCTTATGATAAAATCTCTCATGCACACACTGAATGTGCTAGCATCTTTTTCTTATTTATATTACTTAGAACATGACATGTGCTCTCACTAACATTAGGGTGCAGTAAATGCTTGCCCCAAGACTCTGGGAAAT